TTCAATATGTTGTGGACTATCACTATGCTAAAATTTTGATATCACTATAGTGATAAATTTATCACTGATTTTGTTCGAAATGTAGTTGCTGTGATGGAATTTTAATACTAATATAGTGATAAGTTTATCATTTTTGTCAATGTAAAGAGATAAATATGCAAGATGGTCAATTAATCATTTTTATCATTCTATGATCAACAATCAAATTAATTTGTGATTCAATTATCATTCAACAATCACTAACACTGTACAACCAAAACACTGATGAATTAATAGCAGAGAATTCAACAAATTTATTGATAAATTTATCATTGATGAATTTATTTAGGCCGATTCTTTCAAATTGTATACACAATATATCAAGTTCTAAGGTTGAAGATTATAGATCGGAGTTGAAGTTGGCTAGATCTAAAGTTGCTAGTGAAGATTGGTATCAAAGAGAATAGATGGATAATGGAGGACGATGATGGTGACAACGATGGTGTTGAAGATAGTAGATGGATGATGGAGGAGTGGCGATGATGGCAATGAAGGATGAGGATGGTAGTGTGAGGCAAGCAATGGCGAAGGAAGAAGACGAGAATGGTCGTTGAGGCCCATGATGTTGACGATGACAAAGGAGGACTGTGGTTGAGGCTATGGGTAAAATTGTAAAAATGACTTTATTAAATTGGGCTGGACCTAGCAGGTAATAAGTTTCCTAAGTAACATTGGCTCGTAACTCCCCCAAAATAACTAATGAATCACACGAGCCTATTAGGTTATATAAAAAATATGGGCCTTTCCCAGTGTGGGTAAGATAAAGAGTTTGGGCCCTTTTATTATTATTATATTTTTGGGTAATATAAAATTTGGACTCTTTTGTTTTGTTTTGTTTTGTTTTGTTTTAGGCCTTTTTATTCAATAAATAAATAAATAATGAATCACATGAGTCTATTATATTATATCAAAAAAATTAGACCTTCCCAAATTTAGAGTCCTAAAGCCTAGGCTTGGTTCTCTTTATGGTCCACCCGGCCTTGTTTGTTAGAAAGCAAATTCTATAATACAAACTTCATTTTTGGAATGGATTGGGTACCGTATGCTTTAATTATCACATTTGTGATTTTTTATTATGATTATTGTGACTTCAATTTTTGAATTTGAATTTCTTGCTTTTTCTCTTGTTGGCTTTAGCATTTTTTTTAAAAGATATTTTAGTCAATTTTTTTAGATCACATAACTTAGACGAACCTAAACGGTAAAATATGTGTGGGAAAATCTTTAAAAAAAATTTAATAAATAAAAAAATGTATTAAATTTTTGTATTTAGTAGGGGTAGGCGCGGGTCATTTGCGGCCACGGAACCTCCAATCCGCCATCCATTCGCAAGATTAGCGGATTGGAGAAAATCAATCCGCATCCGTCCGCCAATCCGGCGGATGTGGATTGAGCGGATTGATAGTTTGGGGAATAGATGCGAATCGGTTTAGCGGTTTGAAATTTTATAAATTTTTAATATAGTTCAACTTGTCCACTTCCTCAAAAAAAAAAAAAAAAAAGAAGAAGACGAAAGAAAGTATTACAGTCGATGACTTAAAAAGCATTACAATTACTGCATGCCTCATCCAAAAAAAGAAAGTTTAAAACTTTAGAATATCACAATCACTGCATGCCTCATCTACATATTACAATCACAACATGCCTCATCAATATAAAATATTACAATATATGGTTCTTAAAATATAAAAACAATTTAAACCACTAAAACCATGAACAGAGTAATAGTAGAGATTGTATGTCTCTGTACTGTTACATTTATATATGTTTTTGAAAACAAAACCAACCAGCATATATCATATTTTCTATTTATTACTTTTAGAGTTACATTTAAAAACCAAAAAATATAGATAAATAATACGTTTATTTTTTTCAATTCAAAAAATATATTCAAGTTGAAAATTTTTTTTCAACAGAATATTTGAACTCTTTTTCAATTGAAAATGCAAACAAAATATTTAAACAAATTGAAAACACAAAGTCTTATAAATTATTAAGGATGCTTGTGGTTTGACGGTTCGATTGCGGCCAAAGGAACCTCAAATTCGCCATTCGTCCACTAAATTGGCAGATTAGAGAAAATCAATCCACAACCGTTCGCTCGTCACTATGCATCTATCCAAAATGCAGCGGATCGATTCGGTTCGGTCGGTTTTGGCGGATCGGTATATCCGCTGCTCACCCCTAGTATTTAGTGAATTTGAAAAAAATTACAAATATTTTATTTTTTAAGTACATCTAAAATATAAAAAATGATTAAAATATTTAAAAGTTAACAAAAATAGGAAAAACAAAAAAAAAAATAACAAACGCATTACAACATACGGTTTTGGGGACTAAACTCTTTTGTCAAAATTTTGTAATGGTAGTTCAAAAATAAAATTTTATCTAAAAAAAAAATTTGAACTGGCGAATTATTTATTTATTTATTTTAATTTTGTTTAATTTTTTTTTTCAAAATCTACCAAAAACAAATTTTGAAAATCAAACCAAATTAACTTCATCCAATATTTGTTAAAATAAAATTATCACTAAATTCTGACATAAAATTATTTAACTGTAATAGTATCGTAACATAATGTCTACATTAATTAAATTAAAATTACGATTAATTTCCCCTCTTTAAATTAGACGGCATTCACACTAAAATTGGCTTCCAAAAATTTCCTTCCCTTTTTTTTTTTTTCTGACTAAATTACAAAATACATCATTTGAAATTTACTTAAATATGAATTGTTTTCTCTGGTTTAAAAAATCACAAATATCCCATGGTCAAAATTTTTTATTTAACAAAATTAATTAAAAAAATAAAATTTTAACTATTCTTTTATACAATGATAAAATTACTTGAATTATTAATTAAAATAAATTGCTCAATTGAATTAATAATTAAAATAAATTGCTAATATCATTAAAAATTGTTAGTTGATTTGATAATTTATTAATAAAAATGACCATTTATTATAAAATTAGAAATTTCAAAAGGTGGGATATAATTTCTAAAATTATAAAGGGAGATCCAATTTTAAGCTAACTTAAAAGATGGTACATTTGTAATTTGGGCGAATTACACTAATGGTCCCTGTAGTTTGGGGCTTGTGTTACTTTGATCATTGACCTTTTGATTGTGATACATTTGACCCTATATTTCGAATCTCATTTCAAATAAAAATAATTGAAGATATTGTTACTCCATCTGAAGGGCAAAATCATCAATTTGATAAAACATAAATAGTTTGACAAAAATAAATGTCAAAAAAAAAAAAATTAAAATTTTTAAAAAAATGTTTTTAAATTTTTAAAAATTATTTATATCCACCAAATATAAAATTATACATAAAATGATAAATCTTTTATATTTTTATATTTTATTTGTTTACCAAATCATTTTTTAGTATGTATTTGGATGATGTTCATGTAATGTATGGTTATTTTTGTTGATATTTTTGGATGATTATCATGTAATAGATGGTTAAATTTTAATGAATAATGATATATGTACTAATTAGTATACTAACAGATGATGTGATATAATTTTAGAAGATTTTGGTATTTGTAATTTGTATAATAAGTGGGGTCATTAATAATATAACACTAGTTGATATGCTAGTGTGTACATTAATTGGTGGATGTAGCATCACCGAATTTTTATTAATAGATATTTTTGGACAATTATTAGAGAATAAATGATTATTAGATTTTCAATGTGTAATTAATATGTTTAATATATTAAATGTTTTTAGTTTTGGATTTTTTGATTTAATAGATTGGTTTAATGATGACATTAAAATTGTCGCCATATTTGACTTTTAAAAAAATAACGAAAATAAATATAAAAAATTATTTCTTCCCTATCAAAATATAAAATTATATAAAAATGAAGTGTTTTTAATAAGATGATTGTGACCCAAATAGGATAATGTGTTAAAATTCATAATTATTATATTTTTTAAATATATTTATGTTAGGTTTGTCTAATATTTACAAATATTAAAAAAATTTAGTGATGATAAAAACTTTAAAAAAAAATACAGAAAACAAAAAAAAAAAGAAAGTAAATTTTCTTAAAAGTGAATTTTGGAAATCAAAACCAAACTGAGTGATTTCTATTTTAGGTTTTGGTTCAATTTTGATGAAGATTTATGTGGGTTGTATTTCAGTGGATTGTGAATTATTTTTTTTTGGTATTGTAGCTTTACATTTTGTTATTTGTTTTTATTTTATATTTTTCTACTCTACTTGTAAATTCAATTTTGATATCCTATAATATCCTACAAAGCAACATTATCAGATTTTTGTCTATTTGAATTAGGGAGCTGTTTAAGTGTGCAACCCCCTTAAGGTTGCACACCATATGCAACCCAATTGTTAGCTGTTAGATTACAATAATTGATCAAGACCATTGAATTGTTTAATCGTGAAAAAGTTGAAACCGGGGCAACTAGTTAATGCTTGTATTTGCATGATTGCATCCCACTCACTCTCTGTATTTCATCTCTATCTCTCTCTGTTCTTCTCTCTGTGTAAGGTTAAGTCAGTGTAACCCTTGATTTCCATTAACAGCGAGAAGCCCGTGCTCGGTTGGTTCCATTGACGAAGCTCTGTAGGGAACAGTATAACGGGCGATTTTCAACAACAACGGAACTACAAGGCTGTGTTGGTTCCATTGCTGAAGTGAAGCAGTTCTCTCCAACTAGATAAGAGGTATGGAGCTGTCTCCCTCTCTCTTTCTCTGGCCTCTTCACTTCAGCTATTTTCCCTCAACTAAACCCCCATCCTAACTTCAACCACTCTACGCTTCGCTCAAACGGAAATCTCTCCATTGGCAACTAACCTTTCTCTCTCTCAAGCGAGTGTTTGTGTTTGCACAAACAACTAAACCGTGTGAAAATGTCATGTTTGTGTTTGTGTTAACATTTTTCAGTCATCAAGTAATTGTTTGTACTAATGTCATGTGAAGTATGGCCCCAGCAGAAGTTAAAAGGGAAGGTGATGATTATGACATTCCAAATGAAGCAGATGACATTCGTTTGATGAACGAAAGTCGGGCGGAACCTTATCATGGTTGCGAAGTTGGTCTGAGCAATGAAGAAGCAACCAACATGAACATTGAAGATGGCGGAGCCGATGTGAAAAAAGAAATGGTTGACGATGTTCATCGCAATGACATGGTTGGTGATGTTGAACATGCTATTCTGGAACAGAAATTTGATTCGGTCGAAGATGGAGAAGCTTTCTATAATGCGTATGCTAAAGCCAAGGGATTTAGTATACAAAAATCCAGATTTAACACAAATAAAGAGGGAAAGGTTGTTAGTAGGCTATGGTTGTGTTCAAGGGAAGGTCAGAGATTACCAAAATACTTGGACCGTGTTGCTGAGAAGAGTAAAGCTCCCAAGGCAATAACAAGAGTAGGTTGCAAAGCCCAATTTCGTATACGGTACGATGCAGATGCTGGTGAAGGGGGAAAATATGTTATGACTCACTTCGTTGCAGACCACAACCATGTATTGGTGGAACAACACTGTGTGATGTATCTGAGGTCACATCGCAGTTTAAACAGCGCTGACAAAGCTCAAGCAATGGCGATGCGCAACGTCGGTGTGAAGACTAGCCAAATCATGGACTATATGGTAAATCAATCCAGGTCTTATGAGAATGTTGGTTTCATCTGTACGGATCTGCACAACCATATTCAAGCCGAACGTAGAGCAGAAGTTGAGGATGGTGATGCGTAGGGTGCGTTGGTTTACCTTTGTGCAAAACTTGATGTTGATGCATGATTTTTTTACAAGTATGATGTGTGTAACGATAACAAGTTACAAAATCTGTTCTGGGCAGATTCAAAATCGCGGGCCGACTACGCAAAGTTTGGTGATGTGTTGATATTTGACTCAACTTACAGAACCAATGCATACAAGAAACCTTTTGTCATGTTGGCTGATGAGACTAGCCACTTTAGGACCACGATATTTGCATGTGTTGTGCTAGCTAATGAGACAATTGATACATACACATGGGTTTTGGAAACATTTATGGAGGCGATGGGCAATAAAGCACCTGTGTCTGTACTGACAGATGGGGATAAGGCGATGCGAGAGGCAATCAGAAGAGTATTTACAGACGCAAGACATCGATTATGTAATTGGCATCTTGGGAAAAATGTTGTTTCAAATGTTCACAAAAGTGGCTTTGCACATGCTTTTAAGCAGTGCATGGACATGGAAACGGATAAGACAAAGTTTGAGCATGGTTGGACGACAATGGTTGAAAATTTGGACTTCAAACCAACAGTTGGGTGTTGGAGACATATGAGAAGAGTCATATGTGGGCTGAGGCATATATGCGTGGATATTTCTTTGCTGGGATGAAGAGCACTCAGCGCTTGGAGAGTATGAATGCTTATTTTAATCCCTTCCTCCAACACAAATTGAAGCTATATGAATTTGTTAGGCACTATGATCGGGCTCTTGCAAGGATAAGGTATAACGAGGTTGGAGATGATGCTGAAACAAATAACACTTTTTCGGTATTGATTACTCTATTGCCAGATATAGAGAGACATGGAGCTGAGCTATTCACCCGAAATATATTTAGAATGTTCCGTGATGAAATCTTAGAAGAGGGGAAGTTAATTGTCAAGGACGTGTTCCCTTTGCCAGATGGTCAGAAATGCTACTATATTCATAAGTACAAAGTGAAGGATAGATCATGGATAGTAACACACAGTCCAGTGGATACTGCAATGAGATGTTCTTGCATGAAGTTTGAGTCGTTGGGGCTACCTTGCTGTCACATGATATGTGTTATGAAAGCTGAAAATTTAATGCAAATTCCCGCAACTTGTGTGCTGCATAGATGGACCAGAGCTGCAAGCAAGGATGGCCAGCAATGGCCTCAACCCTCAATTGATAGCACTACAACATAGACGGCCCGGTATGGGATATTGAGTTCTTCCTACAATGAAGTGTGTTTCTATGCCTCGCAATCAATGGAAGGTTTCAAAGAGGCTAGGGATGCATGTCTTTCGATGACGAGCCGGATGAAAGAGTTACATGAGAGGAATCTGAACGATGGGAATGGAGACAAAGGGAAACATTCATTCCCTCGACAATTTGGAGTAGAAGATCCTGATGTTGTGAAGACAAAAGGAAACCCAGGACGGGCCTCGTCCAACTGTCGAAGACCAAGAAAATGTGGGAATTACAAATGCATTGGGCACACAAAGCGAACATGTCCTAATGTTCGGTTTAGCCGAATAGTGGGTAGTAACTCAGATGCAGATACAAGCCACATAACTAACCGTGAATACAATGCGGAGTCATTGCCCGTTCGCTGCAAAACTGGGTTGGTGGATCCAAGTACACCGCACATTAAGCAACGGCGACTATTTTTCGATGCTTCTCCTGATTCCAAGCAGCCTGTGGGCCAATATGGTAGTGTTGAAGCAGCAGTGTGCAAAAATGATTTGACCACAATTGATGAGGTGAATCAGGTAATTTTATAATTTGTATGATTTACTTATTCCCTTAATTTATTAGGTAGACAGTACTACTTATTCCCTTAAAACACATGTAAATAATGTATGTAGTTTTGATTTTGTATGAATTCTTGTCATTTTGAAAACTAATTGAAGGTGAGATATATATGGGTTGTCTGTGTATTGTTTTGGGTTGGAAATTGGCTTATGTCTGTATTCCAAGATTCCTATTGCGGGTTGCTTGTTTCTGTTCCATATTTGGTTGGATCTAACTGAAGGGTTTTTTGCAGTGTGGTTTATCAACTAACGATGTGTTTGGCTTCATATTGATTTGTTATGACTTGTTTCGGTAAATTAGTATTATATTTTGAGTAAAATATGAATTTTGTCCATGTGGGTTTGCAAAATTACATCCCAGCCCATGCATTTTGTATATAATCCAAGTGGCAGTTAATTTTGGGTGTTACTTGGAGAAAGTAACCCAACGAACTCGTTACTTTATCTCCATGCCGATTGGTATATGAATTACGAGTTATGAACAGGAGTTGTGAAATTATTTCATGTTAACTATGAAAGTGATGGGTTTATTGTTAGTAAAATTATGGTGGGCCTATATCGACAGCAATGAAACAGTAATTTAAAGTTGACAAGTTAAAGAAGAAAATCAAGCAATTATGGTATTGGTTCGAATGCCTGAAAAGGATGAAGACTTCTTTCGATGAATTGATGGTAACAAAGTAGAAAGTAACAATGTACAAAGTAGAAAGTAGAAAGTAGAAAGTAAGTTGTTGTGTTGTTGTGTTGTTTGTAACAAAGTAGAAAGCAGAAGGGAAGAAACTACTCAGAAGTTACAATGTAGAAAGTAGGTTGTTGTGTTGTTGTTCATGTCCTCTCTCTCTGCAAACATTCTGCCCTTTATAGCTATTATTTCCCACGACCCCATGATCTGCCGATTCTGCAACTGCTTATGTGCAACTTTTGTAACTGCACGGTCATTTCCGTGTCTTGAAACCACATAAAACCTTTACTTGTACCTATCGAAGTGCACATAATGGAAGTTGCCACCTGTGCCCAAGTCCATTTAGCCTTTCCTCGATAGATACACAGACTTCCAATTCGTTCATGTTTCCTCTTAGAGGCTGGCCACTAAATCCATGAGCACTGCCAGTAACTGCTCCACCATGTAAGTCAGGTGGCATGCAAGATTCAATGTTAATTGATAACCCTTGTCTTCAGGTGGACTTGCCATGTGTCCTCAATTGAATGGATCAGCTGTTGGCAGGATGTGGGAAAAATAGGTGCAAAGAGGAATTTTTTAAAAATAACCAATCATAATTTAGCTGAAAATATGAGTGAACTTTTTTTTAAAAAAAAGTAGTTTCCATTTTTATGATTATAAACCCGAGATGTATATTTTGTTTTCGATATAAATATGTTGTGTATTTTGGCTACGTAAAATATAGGACAATAATTGTGTTTAAGGCATTACAATCCAGAAAAAGGTTATTTCAAATATTAACAAGTTTACCGACATTGAATATATTTTGATTAAATTACAGGAAAAATTCAATATTTGGCAGAGTGTGATGATTCGAAGTCAGGGGTGGTAACAGTGAGTGGCCAAGTGTTGTGGTACAGTGGCCCAGTTTGCAAGGATTGTGGTTGTGTTTAGTGGACAATATTCTGTCGATTTTTGTCTCATAATGATGAGGGACATGCCCCACAATGGTGAAAAGGAAGGTCGACAGGGAAGAGTCAATATTTGGCAGAGGGGACTTGAAGATTCGAAGTCAGGGGACAGTTACAGTGGCAGTTATGGTGTAGACATGTGGGATCATGCAATGATGGGCCGCAAAAACAGTATACGAATATTGAAACCAATGATCTCCCTTCTAGGCTTTCCAAGTATACTAAACCTCCACTTCTATCTGTCAATCTCCCTTTTTTTGTGTTTATTTCATAGCCACCAACTGTTTGAAACTTCTGTCGACAGAGCAAGGCTCCTGCTTTGTCTCATGCTTCCTCCTGAAAGTGTGACCACTAACTCCATGACTAGTGCTAAAAACTTTCCCCATCACTTCTAGGTGACCCACATGCAGAGAGCCCATTTTTAACTGGTGGACATTCCTTCAAACTTGGCCACGTGTCCTCGATTAAGTGGACCATCTGTCGACAGAGATTGGAAAAACTTGGTGCAAACAATGGCCCCCTTGTTCAAGTTAAATAACATATGAATTAACCTTGTAGAAGTGATTGAGATCCCTTCCAATCACCACCTGCACCACCACCCGAACGCCCCCCCTCAAAATTCAATATTTGGCAGAGTTTGTTGATTCAAAGTCAGGGGCAGTAACAATGAGTGGCCAAGTGTTGTGGTTCAGTGGCCCAGTTCGCAAGGATTGTGGTTGTGTTTAATGGACAATATTCTGTCGATTTTTCTCTCATAGTGATGAGGAACATGCCCCACAATGGTGAAAAGGAAGATCGACAGGGAAGAGTCAATATTTGGCAGAGGGGACTTGAAGATTCGAAGTCAGGGGGCAATTACAGTGGCAATTATGGTGACGACGTGTGAGATCATGCAATGATGGGCCACAAAAATAGTATTCGGATATCGAAACCAATGATATCCCTTCTAGGCTTTCCAAGTATACTAAGCCTCCACTTCTATCTGTCGATCTCCCTTTTCTTGTGTTTATTTCATGGCCAAGGCTGCTGCTTTGTCTCATGCTTCCTCCTGAAAATGTGCCCACTAACTCCATGACTGGTGCTAAAAACATCCCCCATCACTTCTAGGTGACCCCCTCCAATCACCACCTGCACCACCACCCCCCTCACACACACGCACGTGGGGGCTGGTGTTTGGAGGTGAAGGAAAAAAAATGTAAAAAATAGGCCAATCAGATAGAGAGGGGGTCATGGGGATGCCCCCCTTGTGGGGGTCCAAGTCATATGATATTTAACTTCAATGAGAGGGCCGTTGTTTGGGCCCAATAGCAAATTTGTTAATACGGGCCCAAAACAAACAAAAACTACAGCCCAATATAAGAGCATTTAAATATACTGGCCCTATCATAAGCTATAAAATACCCACATTTTCAACTTCAAACCTCTTCATTTCCCTCTGATTCGAACTCCTCAGACTGTACTCCTTCTTCTCAAGCATCGCCAGTCAAAACCACAGCACCACAAAACCCTAAGCCATGGCGCCGAAAAAATCTCAACCATCTCCATCTGAGGAGAACAATGAAGACCTACTTCGTTTCCCAGACCCTATCAGAGCACGTATCGCTCCTCTAAAATTTGGTGCAACCCTATTGCCCAACACAAGCTTTGTCGCTAAGGCTACTCTAGGCCCTACCTTCGCGTCTTACTTCCCAGATGAGCTAGCTCCATACTATCCTCTTGGTAATGGTGAGAACCTTTTTCTCAACCAACCAGGACTTAAGTGGACTAACTAGAATGTCAGCAAAAACCCACTCAGATCCTGGAGGTCACCAGACTCTGTTTGGCGAAGCTAGGCCAGGAGAATTGAAGGTCACGATGCTGAAGTATGGAAGCACCAGGGCATTAGTGAAGCAATTAGACTGTCGACTAAAAATTATGATATGGACAAAGGGCTGATTGCTACTGCTGCATGCTTTTGGTCGCAATCTTGTAACTCCCTACTCTTCAATTTTGGTATGATTTCCCCTACCATCTTAGATTTAGCTCACTTGACTGGTCTCCCAATCTTGGGCAATCCAATTCATGCTCTCCTTGAGCCTCCAAAAGTGACCTTTACTTTAAACACTGACATGTGCTATACAGATTTCGCCAAAAATACAAAGGCGAGCCTGGTTCCCCTGTCCAGGACAAAGAAAGAATTGCTTTTTACTTACTTCGGCTTTGTGAGTTTGTTTTTTGTGTCCCTGGGTACAAGATCACGAAGGAATCCTTGCCTTGTGTATGCAAGATGGCGAACTTATGGCTTTAGTCCCTTATCTTCTTGCCATCCTTTACAAGGCCCTATTTTCTTTTGTCCAAAAGAAGATTTCTGGCAACTGTGGTGGCCCCTTCTGGCTCTTCCAGGCCTGGTTGTATGCCTATTTCCCTGAGGCATGATCCCCACCAACTAACACCTTGAAACCAGTTTTCCACTCCTATGCTGAGCAATTGCTCACTTATAACAGCCAACCCATCTTTACTTTCAAAAATCATCTTACCATGTTTTACAACCTTCCTTCGAAGAGACCTTTCAACTTGTACATGCCATTTCAAAACTTTCAATTCTCCTCCAGTAGACTTCACTTCCTCATCATAGACCCTTTTGATTTACACAATGAGCAAGTCCAAGAACAAAATGAGACTTTGAGACACATTCTCACATCTAGACATGTCTTGGTTGGTTGTTCCATATCCTCCACCAAGTTGTCCAACTGCAGTTTTGAGACATACTGTCCCAAGCA